ACAGGATCGACTTGGGGGCTCTCCAATTTTTGGTTGTCTAATTTAAGGTTATTATTGTTCCAATTGAAGTTGGGTAGGTCAACCAGCTTTGGGTTTTGGTATTTGATTCATTCCTCAAATTTACTAATGACGGGTAATTCTCTTTAAATTAGGGATTCAAGGTATCTTCCCGAGGTTAAGTGTGGAAAATATGGTCCCTGCCCTAGCTGCTCTAATTTTCCACAGATTTGGCTTGCGTTCTCCTCCAAACATAGTTTTCTACATCAATGTTATTAATGTTCCAATCAAATTTTGGCTAAATAGTTTAGTTGGGGTTGTATGTATTGGAAAACGGATTATGGGCATCATTTCCTATGACATTACGAGTCTCTAAATTACATATGCTAGGATATATCACCAATCCATGAATCAACCCATCATTTAATGGAAGTCTTTGCATCAGATTCATCATCAGATTATCTAATTTCTTAGAAAGTACAGCTACTTGGGTGGTCAGAATAGCTAAGATAATAGTTTCAAGAACACGGGCTACTTTCTGGGGTGTAACTCTTTCAGCAAGCCATTATAAATTATTGGTGATTATTTATTTTATTAGTTGTTAGGCTTCATCAAAAGGTTTAGACATTAAGGATCCACATGCCGTGACAACTATGATCAATCTTAGGGAACCTACCAATCCATTGTAAAAATTTTGAATTATCAGCCAATCATGTAAGACAATATGTTGTCACTTCCTAAGTAATTCATTGAATCTTTCCCAAGCTTGAAAAAATGGACTATGTATCTATTTGTATGAATGAATTGATATCATTCCTAAGCTTTACAGTTTTAGATGGATGAAGATATTTGTCCAAGAACTTATGTGCTAAGTCATTCCAAACTGTGATTGATCCTGGGGCAAGGGAATTAAGTCATACCTTCGCCTTATCCCTTAGGGAAATGGGAAAAACCTCAGTTTAACGACATCATTGGTGACACCATTGTACCGGAAGGTGGCCTAAAGTTCAAGAAAATTAGCTAAGTGTAGGTATGGGTCTTCAGACGAAAGCCCCCCAAACAGGTTATTTTGAATCATCTGGATTATGGCAGATCTCAATTCAGAAGTGTTAGCTTCGATATATGGATAGTTAAAACTCATGTGAACTTTTTTGATAGAAGGATTGTTGTATTCCTTAAGTGGTTTTATGATGGGTGTGTTAGTGTTAGCCATCTCAAAAAGTATTTTAGGAACAAATTGTGACTCCTAAGACATCTAAAAGTGCGATCAATCTCAAGGTCAAAAGGGGTGAGGTCAACCTCAGCTCCCCAGTGCATAAAAGAACAGTTTAAAATTATGCAGCACATAAACATACTGACCCACACAAGCTGATCAACAAGCTCACATGCAAATTCAACAATTAATATACAAATTTAAAGAGAAAGAAATAGAAATAATTTAATGACATAATTTTCTTTTGCATTTTTTTAGCTTTTTCAGCAATTTATTTTTTTCAACACCTGCAATAAAAAAAACAACAACAATACAAGTACTAACAAATTTGAAAAAAATAAAAAAAAAAGAAAAACTGCTAAACCTAGATTCTCCACAGTTTAACTAAGGTTCTCCAAAAATCAAAATTCTTCTTAATCTTTCCCTGGCAACGATGCTAAAAACTTCACACAACAAAACGTACTAGGACGTAAGTCGGTCGTACAATGCAAATGCATGTGTCAAATAGTAATGTGGTTAAGGAATACCGCAAATCGATCCCACAAGAGAAGGGCTAAGAACTACTATAATGAGCAAATTTCTAGTTTACAAAACTTTTAAACTAAGTTTAACGTGATCACAAACAAAATATTGTTTCCTAAAATCCTGCTTAAAAGAAATAACAAAAGATATCAAGGTTGGAGAATATAAAAAATAATGGTAAATAAAACTTATATATCTTCAAGATATATGAGGCTTGTGCCCCTGTGATTTACGTAATGTAGCGATTCATGATATTCTTAAACTTTTCCTAACGTGATTGTTGTCAACAGGGATAACAAGTCCTACTTATGTATATGTCTTGGTCAAAAGAAGGCTTGAAACCATAAAGTTGAGGCTTCCTTAATCCCCATGGCATCCTGCGAATTTGTTATGATCCCATTTTTACTTTGTAAAATCAAGATAAAATATGTCTATTATTACCTAGATTTTGTGGCTAACCATTCTGTTCCTCTGTGCAAGGAGTAGGAGTCACAGATCATGAAATATGTTAACATCATAATTGATTAGATTATTAGTAAATGAAACTCTTTGGTTAACACAACAATAAAAAAGTTCTGATGTCTCAAGAAAATGATACAGGAAAAGAAAACATATGAAAAAAATCATAAAACCACATCCCATAAATCACAGAGGCGTAAAAAAAGTTTAAGTACACATGATAGAAAGAACACCAGAAAATATCTCATTAAAACTATTGTTATAAGTAAAAAAAGTAAACACTTACAAAATGATTTGTTCCCTCATCCACAACAGTCACTCCTCTCTCGTACAATAACCTCTCAAAACATATAAGAACAATACAAAGAAAAAAGTAGAAGAAACCTTAAAACCTCAACCCTATGAGAGGAAGAGAGAAACTAATGAAAGCTCTAAAAATTTTCTTCTCCAGTTGTCTCCGACTCACTCCTCCACCTAAGAAAGCTTCAATTTGTACCCTAGCTTCCAACAAAAATCGGCATGAAAAAACCATCCAAAATGAGACATGGCAGTACGTCAACATGGTCACGCTAGACCCCGACGTGTTCACGCCTGAAACTGGCGTGGTCACGCCAGTTCTAGCGTGGCTAGACCTAGAATTGGCATGGTCACACCCAAATTAGGCTAGTCACGTCGGACAACACCATTTGTGCGTATTGACTGTGTTTTGTGTGTTTGACTCATATAACCTGCAAAAAAATACAATGAACCTTCCACAAGCATAAAATTATGATAAATGAGGTAGAATTCTATGTAAAAATGCAAGATAAAAAGTAAGTGAAATCACGTAATATTGACTCATGCCATATGTCAAATCATCAAAAATAAAATAAAATTAAAGTGCAGAAGCATATCTTGATTCATGATTACTTTAAATTATGGGATGTTATCTTTCAAATTGATCGATGTTCCTTAAATCTTTTATGTCAATGAGATTCCAAACAATAGCAAATCATCTTTCTTTCTTCTTTGTGAGAAGTAGAGAGACACTTACACATACGAAATGAGGACTAATCACTTTAAAATAACTACATAATGAATAGTTATTTACTACACATACTTCTAATTTTTCACTTCATAAAAGTTAAAATTACAAAATAGGTCTCTACATATTTTTTTACCATAATTTAAAATTTTAATACCCATAAGCCTATACTTTATTAGAACACATTAATTATGCTTAACTTTAAGATGACATAAGCAACATTTTTATTTATATGTTGGCCCAAATAATATAATTGTATATTTAACTTTCAACAATCATAAGTTACATATGAAGGCTCAATAAATAATTAACAATAAATTCATTATTGTAGTAATTAATAAATTGCAAGAAAAATAAAACTAATATTTATAACACTATAGTTTAATAATTTAAGTTATAAAATTAAATGCTATTATTACTTACTAATAATATGTTTAAAAGTAGCTTTTAAAGTATTAATCTTCAAAAGAAACCAATTAATCCACAAGTTATTGTTTAATTTAATAAGAACATTAATTATTAATTGCATTATATAATCAATAATAATTTCTAAATTATAATAAAGCACTCTTTCTTTAAAATACTTAATCAAGTACAAAATCATCATCTAAATTCTCATTTTTTTAATTAAAATAAAAAGGATAATTATATGCATAATACACATAATTGATATGTTCGTACAACTAACAATTGTCATTTTTTTACCTGTCAAATTATACATTTATGTGTCACAATAAAATCATTGAAAATTTATTAAAAGTAAAAAAAATACGAGTGTGGTTTTTTATTGTGAATTTCAATATTTAGGTGAAAATTTTAAAAATAGATGCTATAAGGTTCAAAGTTTATTAATAAACATATTTTGAATGATATGTATGTAATTATTTAGAAAAATAAATTATATCTCACCATTTTAAGGAGGAGAAGGGAGCAACTCTCACCAATTTGGTAACATATATTTTATCAAAAAAATTTAATTGTGAGGTCCTTATAACTTAATAGTTGGAAGTTTTAGTGCCTACCCTTATCTCATGTTTGTGCAAATGTGATTAAATTCATTATAGATTAATAAAGTTTACATACAAGCACCAAATTGCTATGTATTTATATATTTAACACCTAAATTTCATTCTTACATTTATTTCACCTAAATCTTTTATATTACATCAAAAAAATAATTATTATAACCTTTAAAATAAAGTTATATTAGATATGTAAATATATTGGATTTGAATAGTGTGCATGTAAATCTTCCAAAAATTTAGGAGGCCATTTACATGCCACCCTTAATTCCTATGTATTTACAAATCTAAAATCTATGCTTTACGTTTTATATCTATACCTCTCAATTTTTTCATATCACATCAAAGATATTTTCATTTAAAATTTTAAAATGTGAAATATAAACTTTAATGCACAGATAAGAGAAGGCTTTAGATATCAAAATGCACAGGAAGTGAGGGCATGTATATAAATCTTACAAACTTAGTTGCTGTTTAAAATTTTAAGGGGAAGGAAACAACTCTATCCCAGGAGAAATATTTGCGTACGTAAGACATGTCTTACGCAACGCTGCGTACATCAGGTAAGTTACAGGGAGGGTATTGATGGTTATATTCTCGTTATACTTCTTGTAACCTCTCTATAACCTACCTGTAACTTAGATATATTTGAAAACAGAAGCACATAATTTACTATTTACAGATAGGCTACAAATAAATTATAAGGATGTTACAAGAGTATAATGCAAGACAACCCACAATAACACAATAACTCCATTCTTGAGTAGCAATTATTTCCGGTGCCCAGCAGTTTAATAGAGAGAAGCTGGAGCGGAACTGTAGTAGGCCGTGAGGCCGGTCTCCTCTCCCCTGCCCTCATTGTGTTGGCCAAAACGTAGCGAAGATGAGGATGGCATGTCTTGCATCTGAGCTGAGTTCCTCCACCGCTCTTGTTCATCCATTGCCGCACCGTTGGAGATCAACTTTCCCTCGGGTATCTTCATTAAAAGCTCCAACTTCTTTTCCTAGCACGCCAAACCCTCGCCTTATCCCTAACCTTCATTCTTCATTTGTGATGACAGATAGGAGGAACTGGGAGATGGCCGTCGCCAAAGATTCTGCGATGCGCATCCATCAATGTCAGGTCCTACTTTCAGCTGATTCCTCCTCCATATCCCTTGGTAATTCACTCTGTCACTCTTTTATCTGTTTCTTGCAACACTTTTTGGCTCTGTAAATAGTAATGGTCTTATTACTAGAGTTCGTTGGAGCCTTACATGAGCCGGGAGACGATGGAAAACCACTGGGGAAGGCATCATAGGGATCACCTGAACAGTCTCAATACTCACATTGCTGGATCTGAGCTCAACGAGATGCCATTGGAAGAGATCATCCTCACTTCCTATAACAAGGGAGACTTTCTACCTGTTTTTATTCATGCCGCTCAGGTCAACATTTTACTCCCCTGCATTCCCTTATTTATTATCATTTTTAAGAACGTTTGGTTCTTGTAATCACCTGTGACTTTTTTGCGCTCTTTTGACGCGACTCTGCAAAAGGTACTTGGTTGTGAGTACTGATTTTTCTTTTTTTTGAAGGCATTGCTGCTTGATTCTCTCGATTTTTAAAATTTGTGCTGCAAGCACTGGTAGAAGCTAATGTGTTTATATTTATCTTGCTTGCTATCATATCCAAAGAAATATTCCCTCAATACTACGCACCTTAAGCTACGTGCGTTGTGAGTTCTGATTTTTTTTTTTTTTTGAAGGCATTGCTGCTTGATTTTCTCGATTTTTAAAATTTGTGCTGCAAGCACTGGTAGAAGCTAATGTGTTTATATTTATCTTGCTTGCTATCATATCCAAAGAAATATTCCCTCAATACTACGCACCTTAAGCTACGTGCGTAACCAATAAATTGCCGCCATGTGTAAACTCTAGCCCCATCTATTAAAGCAAATAAAATTAAAATAAATAATTATTTAAATCGTATTCGATACCCGGCCCGAGCGAAAAGCCGAACCCGCCTACCTTTTCATTTTCTCCGAACTACTTCATTTTCTACGCACTATTTCGAGTTTAGGGCTTAGTCTTCCTCGGCAAAACCCTCCGGCAAATTATTCCATCAGTACTACGCATGTTAAGCTACGTGCTTTTCCAATATATTGCCGCCAGGTGTAAACTCCGGCCCCACCTATTCCATCAGTATTCGCGACCCGACCCGACCCTAAACCCGAATCCTGAAAAATTTCCCGCCAGCATAAAATTATTTTGCGCCTACAAGTTGTTCTATTCGCAGGGTGAAGAAATATTTCGCTGGTTTGTTTACAGCTCCGTTCACATCTCCGTTCACATCTCTGTCATAACTAGGTATTATTGGAATTCTCCATGAACGTTGAGATGCCGTAAGTCAAATTCCTCATGAACGTTGAGATGCTGGAAGTCTCCATGAACGTTGAGATGCCATCATTCAGTCTGAACTTTGAAGATCAAGATCAAGTGAGTCTTCGTGTTACTGTTGCGTTATTCTGGTGTTACTTTGGTATTACTCTTGTTTCTTGCCTTTGATTTAGTACCGTTTAGGTGGTATAGGGTTTAGTTTAATCTCCATATAAACGTTAGTGTTGATGTAGTGTTATTGGGTGTTGTTCTACAGTGTAGTTTGGTATTATTATGGGTTTTGCGTTATTATGGTTTTAGACTTTTGATTTTTTTATGTTACTCTTGTGTTATTCTAGTGTTACTGTGGTATTACTCCATTGTTATATTGTTTATTACCTTTGATTTTTGGGTGCTGTTCATTGCGACATTGTTTTTGGTATTATTATGATATTTTTTTTTGCATTATTATGGTTTTATACTTCTGATTTTTTGGTGTTACTCTTGTGTTATTCTGGTGTTATTCTGACATTACTCCTGCCTTTAATTTATTACGCATATTGTGTTATTATTGTGTTATGCTGATGTTACCATTGTTTTATGCAACCCTCTGAGGCAACACACGTTTGCAATGATCCAATTGCTGAGAAGTTTCTAAGCAGCATTATCCACAATGAGGAAGAAGCATATGAAAGCTATCGTGCATATGCACATCACGTGGGATTCACTGTTCGGAAGGATCATACTACCTACTGGCCGAACTCCAAGAAACTCAAGGTTAAAGATTATATTTGTGGAAAAGCTGGTTATAAGAAAGAGCCTAACAGTAGAGTTAAACTCAGAAAATCAGACACGAGGACTAGCTGTAAGGCCATGGTACGATTTCATGTTCATTTCGAAGGCAATTGGACAGTGACAAAATTCTTTGAAAATCATAATCATCCTTTGGTCGAAAGTGGTGATAAACATCTTCTTCGTTCCAGCAGAAGTATAATTGAGCTCAATGCAGATGTGTTGAGATCCATGACAGGTTCAGGGATCAGAGCAACACATGCATACAATTTCATTGCCACGGAGGTTGGTGGTGTGGAGAATTTGGAATGCACCAAGAGAGATGCATTTAATTTCATCCAAAGAGAAAGAAGACAAAGAA